CGCCACTGTGGTTAATAAAATTAAGAAGATTTTTACTCGACATGGCATTCCTAAAGAGCTCTGTTCCGACAATGGTCCAGAATACACAGCGGCATGTTTCAAACAGTTTGTCCAAGAATGGGACTTTAAACACACTACTTCAAGTCCTCACTTTTCGCAGTCCAACGGTTTCGTGGAAAGAGCAATCCAAACTGTTAAGAAGAGTTTGAAAAAAGCACATGATGGCAACAAGGACCCTTACCTTGCCTTGTTAGTCCTCAATACCACTCCTGGAAACGACAACAAGTCACCAGCTGCGCGCCTCTTCGGTCGTCAACCACGTTCCACATTGCCTTCCCTAATCCAACCTGCATTTCCTCCTCCCCCTCCTTCCAAAGACACCCGAGCGAAGACAAAAGAAAGATATGATCAACACGCTAAAGATCTACCTGATATCCAACCAGGAACTGTTGTTCGAATCCGTGCGAAGGAAGATGAGAAATGGAATCAACTTGGTAAAGTCGTGGAGAAGTGTGCCGAGCCAAGGTCCTATCGTGTCCTCAATGACAAAAGAAACATTGTGAGACGCAACCGCCGCCACCTTATCCCGTGTAAGGACAGATTCCAGATCCGGAATGACTTTGATTATGATGATCTAGAAGTGACAACTCGACCCAGTTCTCCAGAACCACCAAACGAAATCGTCACAAGATCTGGTCGAGTCGTTCGAAAACCGTCTAGATATAGCTAGACAAATAAACGTTCATTCACGCAAACTTTATTAACTTTATATTTGTTTAATCTCCAACGGGAGATGTTACATATTTGTTTTGTTATTCTGACGTATGTTATTTAAGTCTTGTAATTACGTCATACAATGCGTTCACGCCAAATATATGTTTTTATATTCTCTGTCTTAAAAACGTGTGTATTCAAACAGAACAATGGCCATATTTTACAATCTCGGTGCTTGTGATGTTCTGCCAAGAAGCAGATTCCCATCTCGCTAAATTAATGGCCAAACGTATTGCTTTCCTGTCTTTTACATTAATAAGAAAGCATGGTTGCTGATTTGAAACACTTCCATTGCACACTTCCATCAGGTTCCATGTAGCTTTGGGATTTGTGAGCAAAAATTAAAAGTTAAACTACCCATGTTTTTAATACTTTCTGTGCAACTGTTAACCACATTCACAAATGTATTCTCCAGCAAAGAAACTTTTCTTTACGGATTGTTAATTCGCCTGCACTGCTTATGCCTTCAAAGGTCTTGAACATGCAGAATAGCAGAGACTACTGTCATTGACATCCTTTGTCACAAAATTATGATGGCATATTGGACAGCTATGTTGGATAAGGCACTTTCTTAATAAATAGCCTGACACATAAGTTCATGCAGACTATTTAAGTTTTGTTCAATTTCATTTGTTTTGCAGTCGGTATCTTCAACTGCTTGGATTAGTGGTGGGCTTGTCTGATCATTTCCTGCAGATAAATCAGATTGGCTAGGGTGAAATGCAATCAAATAGGCATCAGAATCTTCAGCACAGCTGCCAATTGAAAGTGGTGTCAAAATATTATCTACAAATAATTTGCAAAATGCTCTGGTGAACTGGATGGGACTAATGGGTTGTCACAACCCCCCCCCCCCCTTGCTGCCTAATGAGGCCAAAGAAGTTCTCCAGAGGATCTTGGTTGAGGCAAGGAATGATGTTGGGTCTTGAAATGTAAATACCACAGTGTAATTACTACTGACAGTGTAAATACTACAGTGAAATGTAAATACGACAGTGTAATTGTGGTTTAAAAATACAAAGTTCATTTTAATAAATGTTGTTTATTTTATTTCACATTTATATACATTTAAGAACTTAAATTATTCAGAAACCAAATAAATATGTGTTCAATGTCAATAAATATTGCAAATTGTAATTTTTTATTCCAAAATAGGCAATAAGTGTTTCCTTTATAGTTGACCCCACATGCTTTCATGAAAATTAATACTAAATAAAAAAGTAGCCAAATGATCCATGTTTCCTCTTATAGTCTTTGCTTTATATGAAAAGTTAAATACTATGAATAATTGCATTGTTTCTTTTATTGATAAAGAGTTTCCCATTAAAAGAGAAAGTATTCCCAATTAATCCTTTCCCTGTTAAAGTGTGCTCTCCCCTTGACAAGTAAAAGAGTAAAATAATAAAGTAGGGCACGACTCAATGGTTTAACAAGTAAAATTGTCTAGCTTTACAGTACATCTTCCAAGGGGGGCTGGATTTGGGAAGCAGGCCTACCACTTTTAGTTGCATTGGGGGGGGGTAGGGCTGCTTTTTGAACCTCAATTAAACTATTACAGTAATCTGAAGGCCTGTTTATATGGTCTCCGGGTACTAGGGAAATCCGAGCCACCCTGGCAAGGCAAAATTATATTCATATCCTATTATAGCAACTGCCATGCAGGCCGTGTTTGCATGGAAAGTTTTGAACTTGTCTTGCCTAGTGGGATGATCCAGGTAGTAGGATCACTCCCTCAGGGGGTACAGCATCTCTATTACTCAAGATTAATTATATAAACATTGCCTGAGGCTATGTAAACTTGGTGGGCATTCCAATAAGATCAAATAGTCTCAGGTTTTCCCCAATCAGGCAAACAAATTAACATAGTTGTAAGATTCGTCTGCATCTGATTCATTGTAATGAATAATGTAGTTCAACAGGAATGATTGGCAATCTAGAAAAGCAAAATAAAATAAACAGATTAGATTTTTGTTTTAAAACATGTACAGTGACTTGGCATGTCTGAGAAATTGATCTTTGAGAGCCAAAAAAAGGTTGTCAGTGCACTGTCAATATATAACCAATGCACTAGTCTAGGGGAATCACTATAAAGTATAATTTGATCAATCCCCCACCATTGGGTCAACATATAAGTTAAATAAAGTCTATACGAGTACTTTAGAGTACTGTGGCTCCATGTCCATGACTCCATCAGTCCATGTTGAATGTTGATGTTCATTTTCGTATCTGAATGCTGTTTATGCAATGTTTAAATTAACGACAACCCTTTGATACAACATTGCACTTCACAAAAATATATTGATAATTTGATATATATGAGCTAGAGAAAAAAAACTCACATATAAAGTTGGCAAGTTCCAGCTGGAGTTCAGGTCTACAGAATCGAATCAGATTGCCAGAAATTCTCACTCCTTCGGGTGTCTTTTCTCATTTTCGCCGTTAAAAATGGTTTTCGTTCAATTCGCTTTTGCTAAGAAGACGCAGTGTGCCATTTATTTGCAAAATTCGTGCAGAAAATGAAGATTGATCGGTTACTGCGCTTAAAATCGCCGTTTTACTGTCAAAGTTTTGCATTTCCCTATCTTTTTCCTGATAAAAATGTGCATGACACTTGCCAGAGGGTCGCGCATGCGCATTAAAAAAGTGGGGACATGATTTGCCTCGAGTTCCGCCTCTGTATATCCTTACTCTGTGACCTTGGGCTCAGAAGTCAAGAACGGCAATATGGCTGCTGTTGGAAGATTGAATTTCCCAAAAGCTCTTCGGGAAATTCGAATCCATTTATGCCAGACGTCGAAAAGTAGTCAAGGAGTTAGGTAGGGAAAATACAATTTTTAATTTCTGAAACTGGGCGTTATAACGTATTTAGTATGGCATCATGATTCATAAAATTCTAATACATTTATTACTATTATAAATGCATGAAATAACCATCCCCCCCCCTCCCCGGTAACACCCTGGCGATTTGTAATTTATTTTAAAGATAACTGCAAATTCCCAGGCCTTAAAAAACTAGCAATTCCCCACCCCAGGCAAGAATTAATGCTAGTTAAACTTATTTTGCCATACAAGAATTTATTTTATTTTAGGAGAAAGCAAACTACAAGCGAACTGTAGTCTCTCCAGGGTGCATTTTAAGTGCAACACGCCGAAGATCTTTGGCAAATAACAATACTATCTATAGTTAATTTTGGTGTATCTTCGGCATACATTTTACATGGAATGCACCCTGGTAGTCTCTTGGCGAAATCTACCCAGCTGTTATGAAGAAACTACAGTTTGCTTCCTGAATACTATAGTTTTTGCAGATGATATGAGATGAACACCAGTCTCATACCCAGAGCCAGTTTATTTTGTAAAACTAAAAGTCTATTTTGTGATATCTGAAGGTCTCCCCACCCATGTTGAACCAGACCCTTAGGAGATCTCACACTTTCCCGTCCTATACAGTGCAGACTACATGTAGTATAATGTCAGGGTCTGAAATTTGCGGTATCCTGATATCCACAGGATAGTGAAATTTGGTTTTGGATACTAAGTTTATTTTACTTGTATCCTGATGGGATGCCACATTTTTTTTTAAATTGGGGTAGCAGTTAGTGTTTTAGTAGTCTCCCCACATTTCTGTTCATTAAATAGTGCTGTAACACGAGTCTAGCATTCGTCATAACGTTGTATCTATGTAGTCCACTCATGGTTGAATTTTGCAAGTTGCCATTTTGAATAGTGTTTCCACATTGAAAAGTCTTGATGATGATACAGACACTTAGACTGTAATAATTAAATAACCCTGTTAACTGTTAATGAACTGTATAAGTTCCTTTTAGGATTCTAGCATATTAAACATAAAATGCGATGGATTAAAATGCTTGACTAAGAGTAAGCCTTAGGGTGATGTTGGGTCTGGCCCTGGGATACGAAAAGCCAACTAGTTAAGTATCCAGATTTGGGATACTGGATTATCGGGAGGGATACCAAATTTTAAAACCTTGGTATACCCATGTGGATTTCAGACCCTGAATGTAGGTCAATGACCGTGACTGGACACTTATTTCCAGGCTTGATTGGGAGAAACTGCAGATGAACTATAATTAACATGTAGATGAGACTGGACATATGAAAGTTATTCAACTGTTCAATTACTTTGAATCATTTATGCAAATAGTTGCTTATAAAACTATTAGTTTCTGCAAGGTTGAGTTGCTTTAAATTGTTATGATTCAATTAAACTGCAATTTATCCTGATGCAGAATGGCTCATAAATTTGGTTGTGCAGTCCAGAATTTGAATTGGCTTATTGTAAATGGCTGTTAACCACCCTTCAGATTTGTCACAATCCTGCCGTACTTAATGTTATTTCCAACCCAAATATCTTTTCAAAAACCTGAACTAGAAGAAGAAGCTTAAGTTAATTATTTTTCTCCTCATTTTACACACAGAGATTTCCTTGAAAAGTATTACGTTGGTTTGAAAAAAGAAAATCCAAGATTTCCATTCTTAGTAAGGGAATGCAGTGGTATTCAACCAAATATTTATGCTCGATATGGTATGTGTTACAGTGCCTGAAAATCTCCTGCAGCAGCACCGCTGCCAGGAATTTTTTAACAAAATATATATGCAAGAAATTCTTACATCTCACAGGAAATTTTTGTCATCTTATATACTGGAATGCCATCTAATTTACTTATTGTTTACAAAAGCGTTTGCGGGGTTTGAGTTTGTCTTGTGCTGATGACTGAAATTGATCACACTGTGTGAGTGTGTGGCAGGGGCGGATCCAGACCGATGCCAACGATGCGAATGCATCGGTCAAAATTGAGAAATCATGTTGCTTGAAATAATATATAGACATATTATACTTGGTCAAGCACTCAGTAATAGAATATCTTTGAATCTCTCGAGCTATCAAACCGCAAATATTTGCTTAAACTTGACTCCATGGCAGGAATACACTATTTAGGATGAAATCCAATTTAAATAGTCCCAATAACAGTCGAAATTGTCAAAATAAGTCCAATATGCGACGTGCGATCGCAAATGTGTACTTTTTGTTATTTACTTTTTATTTTGCGACACTTAAGCGTCAATAATTTCGCGACAAAATATGTTATTTTTTACCGCATCCTTTGACGTCACAGTAGAAAGCTGATGCATCACCTACGTCACGGTAGATTTGGTTTGCATCGATTTTCAGCCATTTTGCATCAGTGAATGCATTGGTCCCGAGTCCTTTTCCGCGTAAAATCTACTGTGACATCATCAAATCTATTGTTTTAGAGCCCTACATCGCGGTAGATTTGTCCGCTAAGCGATGCATCGCATGCAGATTGCGGGCGCTCGCATCAGTTCACTGATGCAAATTGCAAAATCAAAATCTACTGTGACGTAACGAGGCATTCGATTCAAGTCATGGCATGGCGGCAAGGATATGCAAACACCAAATGCAAATGAGACAAATAATATTAATGGGAAGAAATATCTCTCGAAATTGACGGAGAAAACGGAGAACAAATTACCGAATTAATTACCAAGGCTTAGAATGAATCTAATCTTTCATCTGAGTACAAGAATTGAAGTATATTTATACTGTGAGATGCCCACTATCGGCACTATGTGAAACTCGAACTGAGGGCTCTAAAGTAAGCGAAATTTATCTATATTTTACATTGTAGTTCATTGTTCAGTTTAAGAAGTGTATAAAGTGGAAAATGGGCTCCACAGTTAATGCAGATTTGTTTGTATTAACATATAAATAATTAAAGTTTGTGTCTATTTATAAATACTATTGCTTATACCAGCAGGGGGGGATGAGGTAGTTTGACATTTTACAGTCTTTACCGAGTAAGAGAGGTTTGCTTGTCTGGAGGCAAACCAGCCCCAATACCAAACTTGACAGCTTGCTTTAGTGAGGCAAATTTCATCTCTGTTTACATGGGATTATAATCTGTGCCCAGACCTTCATTTTTCTCACAGCTGGCGGGCAAAGAAAAATGAAGACCTGATACACATGTTATTAAATGTTTGTGTCCTACAACTGCCTTTATGGTTGTAACTCTGATTGGCTATTTCTAGCATGAGTATTCATGCCATATTTAATGTATTTTTTGATATTTTGGTTAATTAATGCTATATATAATTAAATAATTATAGATTTAGTGATTGTAACTATATTTAGCTTGTTGTTAAATTATGTGAAATCGACATTTCTCCTGGCACATTTTGATTGGATACCGGTACTAAAAATAAAACTATGGTGTGGGTCAAGACTTGCATCAGGCTCTGTATGTAATTACAGTGCATAATAATATTGCAGGTTAATATCAATGAGATTTCTAATAGTGATGCAATGTTGGTTAGAAGACTAAGGGGGAGTTTACATTGAAAGGTAATTGGTTCAAGTTGCAAGTTCCAGTGGTATCTCCTATTACATTTCATTTTCATTTTATATGGAAATGAGCTGGCATGCCTCATGACAAGAGTCTAATTGCTTTGCATTGCCTGAGTTATTGCGCAATTACTGTACACTGGATATTTTGCAAACAAAGATGATTACCTGGGCTTGCTCGCCTACCATAGTTGAGTATATATGCTTTGTCTGTGCAAATATAATTTGATATAAGCTGTATATGTCATTCTCCTGACAGATTTTAATCTTAGAATGATAAAAATGATGGACGGTATAAATACTGTATGTAATTGTAACTGGTGTTATAGGATATAATTATGAAATTTGCTCACAAAAGTGGGATAGTTTGGAAAATATATTTAATAAAATTATATATTTGTAGTGCTAATTGTCCCAATACTATATACCCTGCGGATTACCATTGATAAGTGTATGGATATATTTGACAAAGATGTGCATTTATATAATAACACAGGGAAAATATTCATCAATACTACTGTGCAGCCTTTCTACATTGACAACATCTTAAAAGAATACTATATTAATATTAGTCGAAAGGCAGGCAAAAGGGAACAGATAGAAGACATGATTCAATTATGTCATGGTATATTGTTTATCGTAATGATTGTACAGTTTGGTAGGTTCATTTGACAAACAATTTCCAACTAAGATAGTTCATTAAATCAATTTACACACAGTCTCTATTGATTTAAAATTTGTGGTCGTGTACGTGTACCTAGTTATACTAATAGAATTTTTAACCCAGTGCTTGTTGTGTGTTAGTTTACTGGTATCCTGGTCACAGGGCAATATTCTCAGTATTCAGAGTGTGGGCTATTCACCATGCAGTTCATGTCAAAGGCAGCTAGGGGGGAATGAATTTAATGAAATCGACCAACTGATGTCAACCACACTGTCCATACAGAGTAAGATTAGCAGCATAAGACAGAGTTGTATATAAATAAGTTTACCCACTAGAGCACAAAATACCTTTATGCACCATTCTAATGCTAGAAGATTTTACTCATGGAACACTGGAAATTAGTGGAAACTAATAATGGAAGGTGGTTAAAAAACAACACAATAACACTCCCTTCTGAGTTCAGCAATGCAACTAGTGGATCACACTGTATACACCTTTATTACACGCATGTGTGTATTTGCGTTGCTTGTGATTTTTTGCCGAAATATTTTTCAATAGAAAAGTTAAGGCTACAAGAAGCACAGTACTGACTATTTTTGAATAGAGACTTATGTTCCACTGCTGCTATTACACTTGTACAAGCAAATATTGTTTTCTTATATAGAGAAATTATGTTGTTTTTACGATATAGGTTCAAGTTTTTTACGTGCTTCCCAAAAATGCAGGGAATAATTTTGTGACTCTGATGTATGAATTGGAACAAAAGAGTTCGCTCAGAACGCAGCAAATCGCATTTCCGAGGTCCTAGATTTCAAAATTTCCCGGGGGAGGATACCCCTGGACCCCCCTACAAATGCGAGGTCTTAGGCATCAGTCACCTCAGAAACTGGATCCGCCCCTGGCACGTTGTGACTGACTGTTGTCTAAAATAGCTTCAAAAACTCAATAATTCATGAGGAAAACACAAAGAAAAATCATAAACGTGTCGTATCCTTGATATGTGATAGAGATTTCCCTTGATTTACATAAATTTTAATGATTTTCTCTACAAATACACACCGAATTTTTTGAAAGCTACTTCGCCAATGAACGTATACTAGATCGATCTTTTGAAGCAATTTAAAACATTCGCAGTGCGTGTTTTATCAGACCATCTTTATACCTGATAAAACACTGCTGCTCGTGTTTTAAATAGTGCATAAAATCTCTGGAAATCTCCCGGCGTAGTTGCCGAGCAAAAAGCATGCATGATGCTAAATATAAATCTCGACTATGATTGGATAATGGGTGAAGGTGCTAATTACAAAACGTCAATCATCCTTAATGGGCGAAAACAAATTTGTCACAGCCAATTTGGGCAGGCGTTCCCTCTGTACCCGCCCGTCAGCTAAACGCCTGCTACGCAGGCTACGTAAGCCTATGCCTTGTAGGTTTTCAGGGTGACAATTAGTCTTACTCCGAATGGTACTTTAAAAAGGACAGCCGCTTAAAACCCGCAAAATTTGACAAGTTGAAACAAAATGGCTTGCAAGTGCTATATTGGTTGTTCTTAAAAAGGACTGTTGAAATTAATGATTAATAGTCGCTATTGCTGCATGGGAAATGGCCGACGACTACGTACAGTATATAATTGCCTGATCACGGATATCTTGCGATAGCCAATATAAAATCTCGCAATCAGCGCTTTTAGGAAACAGTACGTCATGTAAGCAACATATAGTGTACAACATGTCACAGTGTTAATAGTGTTACGCAGCATGCTATGACACGTAAAGTTGTCATTTGTTAGTTGTCAGATCAATTGTTACGTTGTTACCACGAATAATATTATTAATCTAGAAAGGCATGAACTATGGAAAACCTATCGAGTTAGGACTGTTTTTCCCTCTTCAAACCATCTCTAAACTCACTGTAATCTTGAAAACCCGTCTCTTTTGTAACATTTGTCTCATCCCACATTTTTTGAACAGCTTGTTTGGTACCCTCGTCCATCATTTCCCGTCCTTTTGTTGCAGAACCCGTGGCAACACGTTGAAGTCTGACTGCTTCTGGTATTCCCATCGCTTTATTCCGATAACTTGATAAGAGGTTGCATGCGAACTTTTCTCGACTTTGCTTCATAAAATCAAATGTGCTCATTTTCACGGCATTTGTTATACTAGCTTCATCATCAATACCCATGAACGATGCAACAGCCCTCACTGCACTTTCCAAGTCTTCCAACATATCTTCGTATAAAAGAAACAATACATTCGGATCATTTCGTTTTGGCCACCAGCTCTGCAAATGCTGGAAGTAATTCACATGAATCTTTTCATTCGGGGAAATCATATATTTCACGAATTCATCAAGCGTTATTTCTCCTGGTCGAAAATATTGTCCTTCGAAGAAATTGAATGCACTGTACAATGATGCACAAGGCTCCCGATAGACAACAATATATTTCCCACCTTTAGGACAGACGTCATACGAAGCGTGCGTCTTGAAGCATCTGGGCTGATATTTGTGTTCGGCATCGAGGTCTTGTCTGACATCATAAGCCAATTCAATCCATGGAACAACTTCGTCGATGTCTGTAAAGGTCATATCACCTCCGCTACGCAGTTGATGCATAATCTGTTGTATCCATGTTGTGCCACATTTTATTGGTGTAGCAACAAGCACATCACTTGATCGAGGGACGAAACCTAAGGCTTTCTGCCTGCTTTCGTTTGTCATTAGACGTGACCTTCTCTGACTCATCAGTTCTATGGCTGGATTTTGTCCTTCTGATGTCGACATTGTAAATTTGTAATACAGAAAAATATTACAGCCTTTCCCAAATAGTATGGTCACTTGATACGTTGGTTTAGACTTTTATGTAAACAGATACAGGAAAGCACTAAAGGCCATACCACAGATGAGCTGTGGCCATACAGTGAAACACCTTGCGCCCGCGACAAAGCATAATCGTCAGCGGTTTACTTCAATAGATTAGCTTCGCTCATTTCGCAACATTTCGCAAACAATTTCGCTCAATCTGCTTGAATTTTCAATTTTTTAATTTTGCTGTGGCGAAAACAGTCGCTCTTTGAAACTGGAAATATGATTTTTAAAATTTGTGCTAGAACTTGGAACTATAAAGTATGGTTTAAACTGAACAAAAAAATCAGGTAAGTTATCTCAACATGTTTATATTAATTAAAAACCACTGACTCAGTCTGTTCCAACTCTTTGATTTATAAAGTTCCACGCTACTATTTATATTATTTGACCTTATTTAATATGTACATGTATATTCCCAAATATATTTAGGACAGCTAACAGCTTTGCCTTGTGTGATTTAAATATAATGTTAATGAGCTACAATCCTGGCAAAAACTAATGAAACATCCAGTATGACTAGCAATTTATTCTATTCTTCCCCCATAGAATGTTGATTAAGATTAGTAAAAAACCTACACAGTACACATAGTGCTCTTTGCCGTCAATGAACTATTGAACACAATTTTTTAGACTCTATACGGCAAACATTCTTCAGGGGGGGGAGGGGATTTTGTCTATTTTATTGATTTTTTATAGGTGTTTCATTAAATTAATAAACTTTTTGCCAAGATTGTAAGTAAGATCACTAAGCCATAATGTTATGCATAGTATGTATGTATGTATGTATGTAAACTTTATTTAAAGACGTTAGCCTCGTCAACGAGCTTAATTAAGGTACAACTTAGAAATGTTTAGGCATTGAATATCAAGTTAATATAATACCAGTATATATACAAATTACAGTGTGTATAGACCTATCACCTCTTATTTATCCAATAAGACCACTGCAAACATTTGGTTATGATGACTATGCGTAAAGATGGCATCTGGTCCAACACAAGGTCTCAGTGTGCTATTACGGCACATTACAATACACATGTGTTACAACACAAGGACATTGCACAGTAAATTAATTAATCTCCATTCTCCACCTTGCCCTCACGGCTTCACCCAACCCTTGCCATGACTGACCCTCATCACAACCTGTGTGAGATATGGCAGGAACCTACAAACGGCCAACCCTGCTACAAATATAGCTGCATGGTATCATTTTATTACCCATTAATTTGAACCCTACTTTGTTGTTTAACTCAATCTGTCTAATGCCAGACAATTTTGCTTGTCACGGGGAGAGCACAGCGGCAACACTGAATGGGTTACAGTAAAGACCCAAGAAAATAAATGTGTTGGACTAATATCGTTTGGGACACGATATCCAGTTTATTTTCCTCTACCGAGTATCAGGTTGTTTCAAATTTCCCTCCAGATGGCATAGTGAGATTTTACGGACAACTGCAATGGGTTTATACAGTGATTGTACTGTATATTATTTGTTATTTAAAACCTATAATCCATGAGACATGGTATTTTTTTACCAAATGATGTGCTGCATAGCACAGGCTATACTGTATTAGTGTTAAAGTGCCTATGTAATGATTTGGGATTTTAAATATTTTTTATCTTTGGTACATTTAATGAAGAAATGCAATATATCTTATAAGAAAATATACCATCTTCATAGGATTATCAGCCCTCAAAGTTACCAGATATGACATCAAATCACGAATTTTATACGCTAGAAACAAAAGAAATCTAATTTGCAATTCCCGGTTTGATGTCATATCCGGTAACTTTGAGGCATGATAACCTGTGAAGATGGAATATTTTTCTTTTAAAGATATATTGCATTTCTTCATAAAATACACCGATGATTACAAATAATAAATTACACGAATCATGACATAGGCACTTTAAATTTATTGTCTTGAGTTCCTTTCTTCCTAAACAAAAAAAAAACAAAGAAAATTGTTTATAATCCAGTATAGGTCTACTGATGACAATATGTGATAGATAAACTTTTCATTATCAATTTTTAAATTTAATTTCCCATCATTTTTTGAATAGTAACTGCCTCCTTACAATATCAGACACAATCCAGTCTATTATATATCCCAATACTTTCCTTGTACTAGATCTCTAAGAGAGTAAGAAGCTCATTCTGCATTTAATTAATTTACATTAACTTTGATGGTAGTCTTTTGATACTTTACCTTTACTTGCAGATGGATGTTTTGTAATGTTTGAATAATTCAGATGCAATCCTCACTCTCTCTTGTGTGCAGTTAATGGGTTTTGTGAGATCTTTCCCCTCAATTAGTCGCTCAGCAAACTGTTGGTGTAAAATTAAAGCAGATGGTAAAATTTGTACTTTGTTATTAATACCTATATGCTGTGTGATTATACAGTAGCATGTACTGTACCATACTTTACGATGATTTGCACTGAAGACAAGTCATTGTACAGTAGCTACAAGAATCATTGCAAATAAATTGAATGTAAATTGTTGTGGGTTTGAGTTTATCTTAGTGCGTTTTCCTTATTACAAATAAGAATTATAAGAAAGAAGCTTAGCTTCTCATAAATCTTCTTACCAGTTAACTTACCACACAAACCATTATCCCACAGTTATATCCATCTTTCTGTGAATAGTGTTGTGGTTCTACGCACGGCCATGTATTGGTATTCCAACCTGTCTTTTTGTCAACAAGATCACTATAATTGTAAATATATATAATTATGCAGAAATTGTCACTTAAAAACTGAACAAATCAGTTGTACTAAAGATTCAAGATGTAACATATCCCAGGGCTTTGTTCCAACTGGAGATTTTATAATCTGCATGTAATTAATTAATAGTGTATCTCTTATGACAGTACTAACCATATTTTATCAATCAATTATGACATATACTTTAACCAAGCATGTTTTGGCATCTCAGTAAGATCTTCCTCTTTCTGTCCATTCATTGGATCAAAATAATTTCTGGTTTTGTTTGATTCATCCAAAACCTAAACATTTGAACTTTTTCATATTTAGTTTTTCAAGAAAATGCTAATGCTAATTATGCTATTCTTGTAAGTCTCCAAATTTGCACTGTGTTGTTTTAAATCTATAATGCTTACTGTAAACCTTAATCTGGTGACAGATGTTTCAAATGTAATCTTTATAACTTTATGTGCTTTATGTGTTTATCTTAGTTTTATTGCTGATGGCTAAACAGTAGAGTTGAACAATAGGACTGGACATTGGTTATGTAATGCAAAAGTGATGTTGGAAAGTCCAACTTTATACCAAGAGATTCCAGTGACAACCCGAGGGATTCATTGGCACAAAGATCTTCTTTATGGTTGCAAAGTCCACATTCATCCAAAGTCTTTTTGTGTTTTTAACCTCATGCACTGCAAGTTGTTCAACGCTTGTGTTAGCTGAAATGCAGTCTGGATGCTCTTTTTCCAGTCTATGAAGTTCTGCTTCTATTATCTGGAATAACACAGAGAAACCAAATAAATTTAGGTAGGCAGCTGATGATATTGAAAAATTTACATCTTCATCTGTTACAAACGTAATTTTGGCCGCTTTTCTTCAAAGTACACATTCAATGAAATCTGCTTATTAATATTCATGTCAACAATGTTCAGTGGAAATAAACAGTTTTGTACATATAGAGGCTGAAGTTATGGATTTTGAGTAGTACTGTACTTCAGAACAGTATCTGGGCCATAACTAGAGCGATAAATGGGGGGTGGAGTATACTTGTGTTCTGCCCGACGGATTTCTTTTGAAAGCGATTGTTTTTACGGTATGTGAACATGATTATATGAATATTCACCCCCCCTCCCAATTATCGCGTCTAGTTACGGCCCTGAACAGTACAGCAATAGTTTTGGTTTTGCCACTTGAACATTTTTATTACAGTATAGCTATTTATACTCTCATGCAATACGTTAATGGTATAGAATTGATTACACTGTAACTACAACACCATACCATATCACTCAACCATCCTGCAACAAACTTTGGCAATTGTTTTTTTATCTCGGCTTTATCCTTCTTTTTCAGACGATGTGGTGGGACTATGGTGCAGAGATTCCCTAATGTCACTGGCACTGGTCCATACGTAAGTAGGATTTTATTAAGGTTTTCTGTTGTTCGAGCCTTTAAAATCCACTCAAATGCTGTTCTGTAAAGTGAAAAGTCAAATAAGTAAGTACATCATGTACTGCAAGTGGCGATGTACATGTGTTTCTGATTTTCTGCTATTTACAAGAATATTTACTCACACTTCATTCACAAGTTTTTGTTTTCCATCTACTTTGGCGAGATTTGTGCTTGGAACCACCTAGAATGTAAATTAAGCAGAGTAATATAGTCTGTGTGATATGTAATACGCTCTCCAAGTTTCTGATTAACATGTACAGTACAGTAATTCACTGTCTGGCATTTACCACTGTTGAATTTACCACTTATGCTGGAATTACCTACTGTATTGGTAATTCATGTCGAATTAGAACGATTTATCCAGCAGCTCTAGGAAATTGTTAAATAATTGCTAATTATGCGACGCATTTTCTCACCTTACTTCTGTCTGTTGGACATTTTCTCTTGGCCTTCCTCTCCTCAGTCATATTGGGGTGACCTTTCCTTTTCAAAGGGCAGGCTGGCTTTACTGGACCTTCCTCTTTTATTTCAACATTTACCTAAGATAAATAATCAAGAATGTTTAAAGTCTGTTTAAAATGATTATATAAAAATAAGTTTGGCCACGTGTGTGATAATCTACATCCTTTAGGGAATTTCCTTTGACGTTATACAGTCAACCTGATCAGGTCAATGATCCCATGCCATCAATTTTAATGTCCCTATATATAATTTTACCTGGAACATTTTTTTCATCATTTCCGCTTTTGCTCCTACACGTTGAGAGTAAGGATGTGTCTTTTTTTGCTGTTTAGGTAGGTTGGATAGGTGATGCGAACTACTGTCCTTCTTCTTTTTCAAACGTAACTTTGCTATCCTCTTTTCTTTTGCGGTTTTCTGCTTTTCCAGGAGCAGCCCATGATCAACAGGGATTTTTGACTTCATTACTGTTACTACCTCACTCAGAGATGTATTAAAAGCTCGAAGGATCTCTGGATCGTGAATTAAATATGTCAAGTTCTTGGCATCAAGCAAAGTTTCTCTGCATTGTCGTGCAATGGTATTTAAGCTACTCTGGATAAGCTGTGTAGGTTTTAATACATCCGTTGCAGGTGATGTTTCAGAAGGAGTTGGACTTGTGCATGGGTTGGGTGAAGGTAGGATATTGTCATTCTCTTCCTTACATGTAGTTGAAGCTGGGGTTAAAGGGCAATCCTCGCTTGCTCCGTTATTTCTTGCGACTGTAACAACGTGTTCGTCTAGGGTTATATGTGCTTGATTTGTATAGTGTGATGAAATTTTATCAAATCCCCAGTTGGGACAGTGTCTAAAAACTGCAAAGAAGTGCTTGCATAACAGCCTTGATTTCATCCAGGGCAGGCATTCACAACTTGGTGTAACTCCAGTCGTAAGACCAAAATTAACCATGTAGCAGGTGCTAGGTCCTCCTTGTACTTTAAAAATTCCCATATCTTCCTTGACATATTCCACAGACGAAGCAGGAATATCTTCTGCCTCAGTTATTTTTGACATGCAGTGTTTAACAAAACTTCTTGGTCGATTCAGGAGATATTTTGGTATTGAGGAATTATACCGCCTGTAGTTCTCATGACAGCGAACATTTTTTTCGACGTACCTGTAATTTTATAGCAAATGCTATATAAGTAAATTGCAAGTTTGGCAGTACAAGCTGTGATTGCCGAGGTATTTCCTCTTGTACCCTAGAAATCTAACCTTGCGGTGTTCAGTGGAGTGCCAACTGGACTAATTTTGGAATTTGCAAGACGTTTCTTACCCGAACAGTGTACTACATGTTTATGCAACACACTGTGAAATTGTTTTTTGTTTTGAACTTCATTTCCATGCAGCTGATATAAATATACCCAGACTTACCCCAGTACCTTGACATTTTGCCGAAAGACATTTTGCCGAAAGACATTTTGCCGAACGGACATTTTGCCGAACGGACATTTTGCCGACGGACGTTTTGCCGAACGGACGTTTTGCCGAACGGACAAACTTGCCGAAAATAGAGATGCTATTTCGTCAAAATGTTTGGGACTGTGCCTCATTTCTCAACTTTGTAATTCTCAACCATTGTGTAAAATAACCATTATATGGTCATTAGCAGTGCATAATGGGTTTATTAGCAGTACATAACCATGTTGACTATTGGTAGCTTGTTTGTGCAGCGGATGACTCATTTGCTAGGAGCGTGTTTTGACGTGAGGTCGTAAACAAACAAGCATATACAAAGACAACGACGTAGGCGAATTTCACTTCGATAATCATGGAATACTGTACATTCACATGCAATTCTCTGGGAAATCGCATTCATCAATGATGTTGAATGATGTTATTCTTTATATCGCGAAATTTCGGTAAACTTGTCAAAAACTTGAAAGAATATAAAACGAAACTATATACTTCACTATCAAAGTTTCTGTTATCAAAATCGACAATGACTCTAATCACAGAAATTTTGATCGTGTAAGCGAACCAACAAAGTTCAGAAGATATCTCTATTTTGTCCGTTCGGTAAAATGTCCGTTCGGCAAAACGTCCGTTCGGCAAAACGTCCGTTCGGCAAAACGTCCGTTCGGCAAAATGTCCGTTCGGCAAAATGTCCGTTCGGCAAAACGTCCGTTCGGCAAAACGTCTTTCGGCAAAATGTCTTTCGGCAAAATGTCTTTCGGCAAAGTGTCTTTCAGCAAAATGTCCGGCCACCCTTACCCCAGCCTATATTTTGTACCGAGGAACTTGCACCACTACAGCATACAGTATGTATGCGGTCTAAGATAAGTGAAATTTAGGCGAATAATTAATTCTAAATTGTACTTTCAAATGTACCGTACCTTCTGTATTTGTCTGGAAGGAATTCTTCTACGAGGGAAGTAAGCATACCACTGAGTGTTTTATCTCGATGTGTAGACAAGAAATTGTACTTAAAGTCCTTATTCTGTCTTTCTACTCCATTGTTTTTGTATGAATGAACACACTTTCATCAGATTTACGATAGAACCACACCCAACGCTGTCAAAGATTTAGTTTTATTTATTTTTTACGAATTGTGTCACAAGTGGCAGATAAATAAATGCCCACAGACTTTATCACTCAATTAGGAGCTCCATGATTTACAACTGAAAGTAGTATACATTGTATAAAAATTAGGTTTACCACGATAAAGACAGTATAAAAATTAACCATGATAGACAATAGACCTATATCATTGTATTTAGTAGGTAAATTACTTAATATTTTATATACTTTATATACCAATACATTACCTTGCATTCTGACAACCAAGTTCTTGTGAACCATCTTTGCAATTTTCCATTAGTTTTCCATATCTGCAACAAGTACAATGCAGTAATTGATAAAAATAATTTAAATACTTGTTGTCACATTGCCATTGCACATATACTGTACTGCACATGTCACTGTATAGGCATACACATAATTATACTACATTTTGTTTCTCATTATGTTTTACCTCTAATTGTTGTAGATCATTCATGGCGGAATTGTAAGCTTGTTCTGTTCCAGCATGAGCCACTTTCCTCAATGCTTTTAATAACGTTTCCTTATGGCTGGAGACGTCATTGGCTGACTTGCTTACCCATCTTTCCCAGGCTTGCTCTCGATGGAAGTCACAAAGGTAAACGATGCAATCTAGAAGTAAAGGGATAGGGTGTTATAATACACTCCTCCGGAAATTATGTCATTTGGTTACAGAGCCTCGTTTTCGTGTATGTGAGATTTGTTAAATCCAATATAGCCAAATGACGTGATTTCCGGAAGGGTGTATTGTTAAGTCATTTGTTATTGTGACAGTTTTGCTGTATACAAGCATTTTTGCATGAACATTGAGGTTCTAATTTTGTTGTTAATGTTGTTGTTGTTGTTGTTGTTGTTGTTGTTGTTGTTGTTGTTGTTGTTGTTGTTGTTGTTGTTGTTGTTGTTGTTGTTGTTGTTGTTGTTGTTGAAAACATGAATACTAATAAATGAAAAATGTTATGAGGCTCGGAGTTTTTTTTTAACTTTTAGGACAATCATGCAGTTACTTATTCCGTGCAAAAGACAACCTATTGCCGTCTTAGTCAATACACTTAGCTGTTTTGTCACGAAGAACAGTACGCAAGTTCCAAAGTTATGTAGGTCGTATGATATTCAATATGCTGTATGATAAACGTACTATACAGGGTGTATAAAAAAAAACTGAACAGATTTGAAATTGCTCTCAATTTCGAAAAACACCTATTTGTATCCGGTTTTATATATATATATAGCGTCTTTGGATACTTATAATGTAGACTGATATTAGGGGCCATTCACAAAGGATGTCCGAGCCGAGGGGGGGAGGGGGGTTTGGAAAATCAGGACAAACTCGGACATAGGGGGGAGGGGGGGGGGGGTTTAGCAATCCGGATGTCCGAAATTTAAAAAAATTAAAAAACAAATTTTTTTTTCCCTCTATTTTGAGCAGTCCTTCCCATTGTGAAATTGGCATTTTGACTATGCGGTTAAGGGGAGGGTCAACCCAAAAATTGATTGAAAAGTGAAAAAAAAAATTTTGTGCTAAAACAGAGGTTTAGACCTTTGTTTAGCTATTGCAGATTGATTTACGTGTATTTTCTAAATTTTTCTGTGTTTTTGAGCCGTTTCTACCAACCGCATGTATATTTCTCTTTCGTTGCCATGGAAACTGAAGAGCATTTTTTTTAAATTTTGGCCGCTCCTTTGTTAAAAATCTACTGCTTTGTTCAAAATTGAGAAGAAACTACAAGTAAGGCCTGCTGGCTTTGTGTTCAGCGGTGTTCAACACAAAAATTGCATTATGGGACACGAAAGCACGCTTTCACGAGCACGCTCACTGATGCCAGTTGATTTCAGAAGAAATTTTCCTAGTTCAGTAAGCTTTTCAATGCGTAATTGTTGGTTAAATGGTTGGGAAAACGAAAAGAAGCGTTTATCGAAAGTCAAGGAAAGGTCGTGGCGTTAGTAATGTATGAAAACAAGAGCGTGAAATGCCAGAATCTTCATCAACTGTTAGCGAAGATGTCGGCCATGTTGGGAACGTTAATACTGTACAATTGCCTATTTAAAAATACTGATGAATCTGCCAGTGATTCTGATGAAATATCGACACCCACAAGTGCTTCAAGAACAAAACTAAGCCAGCATATGCTCAAGAGTGTGCTGAAAGCGAAGGAATAGCCATTTGACCATCCCAATACAGACTTGTTGATAACTGGACAACTGTCATCTGCTCTTTCTGACATCCACAGATGTGAACAAGGTAGGCACTGTGACTTGTTATTATTAAATGTCACTGAATTAATTTCAAATTACTTCAGGTTTTTGTAATGTAGATAACACTGCTAAATATCTTTGTAGCCCATAATAATATTCAGCATGTTTATGTGATAAGCTTTAATTAGTACCAATGTACCATTAGAATAACAAAGTGACTATATGACCGGCAGCCGGTCACGGTTTATCAAATACTAAATGGCCGGCAGTCTAGTGACTATAGTTGAATATAAAAACTTTTGTTTGCGTTAACTTTTACCGAACTTGCCCTTAGCTCATACGGCAAGGGCGCTGCATGCGAAAAGTTACACGCAGTCAGGGTCGGGATGTGTTTTGACTGACCTACCGTTGTTTTTTCTTAAAATTTTTCAAACTTTTTTTCTCAAAAGGTTAGGGGTTAGGGGTTAGGGCTGCCTCCTCCGCAGGCCCTCATTGCGTCATGGGAAGGTCACAATCTGGAGAGGGCCTGCGGAATCTTGTAAAATGAATAAATTAGCATAAGTATATTGTGCGAAAATTATGCAATAGTAATGGCGGCAATTCCTGAAGAATCGGAAGACGAAGTTGAAGATTTATTAGACCTTTTACAGACGCATCTGGGCGTATCTGATTACGAAGGAAAACTACAGACTCCAATTACATCACCAATTAAAGGAAAACATGAACTTACACCAGGGAGTAGAGAATCAATTCTTCCAACGCCGAAACGACACGCAACAGGTTAATATAAAATATGACATAAATATTTATGAAGTTTTATGTTCGTTTAATCGTTTTGACCCTCCCCTCACATAAAATTAAAGTACTAGGTTACACACAGGGTAGTAATGCTGCCTTTGACAGCAAAAGACAAAGTGGTGTTGCACAAATTAAATCCAAAGCACAGGGTGTTGGATTAAACGAGTCCTTCAGAAATATCCTGTTGTTGTTATTCTTGTTAACCCATTTATTGGCAGTACCCTACCACTGAAAAGTAAAATAGTCTGGCGTTGGACAGGGTAAATACTAAAGTAGGGGCACTACTGCAGTTTTATATGGGTAGGTAGGTCGGAAAAACATTTTATTCTAAAAAATATTTTATCTCAAGTATGTAAATATAAGTTAAAACTCATTATAAACTCTTAGTTTTTATTGTTTTTACATCAGGCAGGCTGTGTTTTCACCTGCATACAATATTACATATAAAACTTGACATACAAGGAAAGGAGCAACAACTAAATATTTAGTGCCAACGATGTTCAGTCTAAACGTTTAAATAAAATGTTTATGGTTGGTTATGTCACTATATAAACAGGTCGGTCGGAAACCTGAAACCAACTATTATTTTTATTTGGCCTAGTTAACCCATCAGCACATGCAGTAATGCGCCCTACTTTAGTATTTACCCTGTCCAATGCCAGACTATTTTACTTGTCAGTGCCTCAGTGGTAGGGTAACTTAATTCATTTACTGGCAGTACTTACCCTATACCACTGACGAGTAAAATCTGATCGAGTAAAATCCATATTCATGTTGCCACAAATAACGTCAAATCGACCTTATTACTTCAACCCACCCATCCCAGATAATGTCGATTGATATTCAGTCGTATTTTGACTTTTGTATTTACAATTACAAAAGTTGTACATGCAGTGATATAGTTACTTTGGACATTAATTGTCAAATAATTTGCCACTTAGATAAACGTTGACAAGTTCACTAAATCTTATGAAAACCCACCCACCAGTGGACCCACTCATAACATCGATTTGACATTATTTGTGGCAACATGAATATGGACGTGGCCCCTAATACATGGCTGTCGTGGACTTCTGCTTTTGGGGATTTTTACCCCTCTGAAATTTTAACCCCTCTGGAAACGGCAGTTTTCTCCCATTTTCCCCCATTTACCAGATGGAAAAAACGACTAATTACCCGACGGGGGTTTGGGTATTAAATGTCATAGCTCTTCCCATTCTCTATGGCAGTCTGAACATTTTTGTTTTTTCTATTTCTGTAAACAGACGAAAAACAACACATCTACAGTATTTCCGATATTTCCCCCCTTTTTTATTACAGGACTCTCTCATTTAAAATTTGCCATTTCAACCAAGGCCAATTGCTTACACGATGAGCTTGAGAAATTACGTGATAATCCATATGAGCTCGAAAAAATTGAAGAATTAATCAAGCAAAGCAAAGAGTTGAAAGACCTTCACCACGCTGTTTTGACAACCTATGACACAGTTATAAATGAAATGGAAAAGTCTAATAATTCATCAGAAGTATTTAACATCCAACAGGCTCATAAACTAAAACAAGAGGTTGCCTACTTAAGTAAACTAACCAATACAGGGATAAGAACTCAAGGTAATAGCACTATTCACGCTGACATATTTGACAAAATGGTAAAAACAATAAAGGATGAATGTCCACTGCTTTACAGTGTACTGGAGAACCTGGTTCTTGTGTCAACAACAGAAAGGAATACACTCAAAACCAATAACCAAAAGATGAAAATGCCAGTCAATCTCGTAATGACAGGTTTGCTGAATATCAGAAACAGTCGGCTACCAAATGACTTTGCCTTTCTGTTTGGTGTGCTTCTGGTATCTTATGGAGCTGGTCCTGCATATTTAAATATGCTGCAGTCAATGGGGATAACTGTTCATTGGAAGACAATGTAAATATATTATTTTTGTTATTTACTATATTATAAACTCACCTTGTACCTGTAGTCCCTTGCAGTTTGCTTTTTTTTGTGGATTTATGTACTTTATTGTGTGGTTTAATTGCTTTAACCCATTGAGTGGCAGCACTATCCCCCTGAAGAGTAATAACATCTGGTGTTAGACAGAGTAAAATAATCTGGCATTAGACAGAGTAAAATAATAAAGTAGGGTGCATCGATCTGGTTAATAAAGTTAAGTAGGATGCATCTGGATTCTGGGGAAAATGCGACTCAATGGGTTAAGTCTACAAACCATAGTGTGCATTGAATGCAATTGTATTTGAAGGCTCTTAATTATGGTGTACTATTTTATTTTTATTTAACATATTAATAAGGTGCATTAGGTTCAGCTTTTTCCTTGATGATTAATTAATATTGTTTGCTGTTATACAGTAGACTTGTCAAGGGGAGATTTAAACAAATTTAATATTTACTAGCTTTTCCAAAGTACCACAAGCCATGCACCTACTGTAACTACTGAAAACTACAGTAGGACTACAATATGGCATATGAATTTTATGCAAATAGGTTTTTTGGTTTTTTTTGCTCTTCTGCATAAAAAACCCCATAAAAACCCTGTGTAATAGCTTAGTTCTATAAATGAGGCTTTGTGTGCCAGTTAAAGAGACGTACCATGCATATTATATGGCTGCATGGTAGTGTAAGGGGGGTTTTACTACATCCCGGGCATTTGACCAGCGCCCGCAATCACATGCAATTAGCATTATCAGTGGTTGAGTCAACCTCGTACCCAGGGTCTTTCCTCTTGGGGAGCAAAGAACCTTGTAGACACTGGTCACATGATCCGCTAAAATCTAGCAGATTTCTAATTAACTATCTTGGTTTTCTTTACGACAATCATACAAATGCAAATTATAAATTAAACTAT